CTGCTGGTGCTGTTGAGGCATGGCAGGGTGGTCCATGATGTGGTCGTTAGGACCACTGGGGCGTTCCCACACCTCAGCCAAAGTACACTCCCCAATAGAAGCAGGGAGGAATAGAAGGAGGAGGACGACGACGACGATCACATAGTAGTGAAGTGGACGACAGTCACTAAAGCCACGACGACGACGACGACGAGGCAGAGGACGAAGAGAGGGAGAAGCAGCTAAAAGACACGATTCTGACGACCGTCCATACTTTCTCGCGTGGGGGTGGATCCCCAGTCAACTCGCGAATCACGAGCTTGAAATTCGAGATGGCACGCAATGCACCTGTCATCGAAAATCAGCCTCTGGACTAGCATACGGGACACTGGGATGGAAATTGGAGCTTCACGAGCGCTTCACGGTGCGGCCCATCCTGCACCCCCTGCTGCTGTCATCTCACTCTTCGTCGCAAGCATCGGCGTCGACTCGCCACGAGATCACCTCTTCCTCCTCTTCCTCATCCTCCTCGTTCTGCGCATCCTCCTTCCCTGACTGGACTACTGCACTGAACACGTAACTGCAAATCCCTACAACTACATGTGTTAGTGCTTGCAAGAGAATGCTGGTTACTGTTGCTGATTGTTGTTTCTACACCTGCTGCACCCCACTGCAGTGTGCGCGTCTGGAGGCTGGATGCCCCTCTCCCATCCTCCTCATCCTCCGGCTCCTCCTCCTCATCATCATCATCATCATCATCATCATCATCATCATCATCATCATCATCATCATCATCATCCTTCACCTCCTCCTGTTCCTCTCTGGCAGAACCGTCTGCCCAGTGGCGGGGCAGTTGTAGTAGAACTGGTTCTGCGGCGTGCAGCACCTGCGGAGCACCAGAAAACCCAGCAGCACCCCCTCCTCCTCGCTCTCTGTCTCTCTCTCTCTCTCATCTCTCTCTCTCTCTCTCTCTCTGTCTCTCTCTCTCTCTCTCTCGCTGTCATCTCTCTCGCTCTCTGTTTTGTTTCTCTCTATCTATCTCTCTGTCTTTCTCTCTCTCTCTCTCTCTCGCTCTCTTGTCTTTTCTCTCTCTCTGTCTAAATTTCTCTCTCTCTCTCTGTATGTATACGTATAGATACAAAATCTATATACATGCATGTACCAGTATAGATCCCAGCGTATGTGTACAGATATACATCGATGTATATACACATATATGTGTGATCCACTGTGCCGCGAGGCACGGGCTAACAGTCATCGTCGTCGTCGCCTCTCCCCCTGGAGCGTTCCAGTCAGATGGACGTCGAGCAACGTTGCAATCGAGGCGAAGAAAAAACCCTTTCCATGTGATCCCTTCCCCGCCAGGGGGAGGGGTCCTGGGGGGGCCCTGGGGGTTGTGATCCCCCCCCCCTCCCCCCGCGGGGGAGCACGCCTCACTGGGAGAAGCTCTGGACATCAGGGCACCAGCGTCGTCATCCTCGTCATTGCCGTCGTCGTCGTCGTCGTCCCCTTCAGGGTCGGCGGCACCGGCCGTAGGGTCTTCGCAACATGTGTATGTATGCATATATAATCTTATATATATATATATACAACCATCGCGCGCGCTTCGCGCGTGCTCAGTTTCTAGCAGGCCCCAGGCCTTGACGAATTCACTGCTCCACTGAAGTAGTGGACCACAGTCCACGCATGCCAATCTACATTCCGAAAGGCATTCGAGGAAAATGGTTGTGTAGGGGGGCGGAGGCCGTATGAATCGGATTCCCAGAAGGCCTTCTGGGAGCATGGGTTTGGGGGCGTCTTGGGGAGCCTGTTGGGGTTTGCCGTCGTCGTCGTCGTCGTAATGTCGTCGTCGCCTACTGGGGCGCGTCGTCGTCGTCGTCGTCGTCGTCGTCGTCGTCGTCGTCGTCGTCGTCGTCGTCGTCGCCGCCGTCGTCGTCGTCGTCGTCGTCGTCGTCGTCGTCGTCGTCGTCGTCGTCGTCGTCGTCGTCGTCGTTTCGTCGTCGTCATCTTCGTCGTTTCGTCGTCGTCGTCGGTTCAAGAGGGCACTTGAGGCAACTTTGTGCGAAACGATCTGCGGAGGGCCGCGAGAAGGCGATCAGTCATGCTCCCAATCAACTTCCCAGACAGCTCTCCTGTAGCATGATGGTACTCGAAGCCTCCGGAGACTCGCGACCTATGATGAACCATGTCCCTGGAAGGCTTTCTGGGGACATGGTTTGTTGGGGTGTGTTGGGGGGTCTCTTGGGCGTTCCCTGGGGGCCCCTTGGGGGCCTCCGGGAACTCTCGGGCCCATGATGAAACATGTCCCCAGAAGGTTTTCTGGTGACATGATTTCTTGGGGTGTGTTGGGGGGCCTCTTGGGCGTTCCCTGGGAGCCCCTTGGGGGTCTCTTGGGGCTTCCTGGGGCCTCTTAGGCGGCCTCTAGGGCCAGAGACCTCGAAATATCGGTTGGCGGTCCCCCTCTGGGCACTCTCTTGGGGAGCTCTTGGGGCACAGTTGGGTTGTCTGGGGAGCCTCCTGGGCCGTCTTGGGACCCTCTTCAAGACCTCGTGGCCCGTCTTGTCTTGGAGCGATCTGAAGGGCCTCCGAGCGAGGCCGTGAGGGAGCGCTGGGAAGCGGGGAAAGCGAGAACGCCTAAATCCTTCAAAAACCATCGGAAAATTAGCGAGTCTTGCCTCCCAGGGCCCTCTTGGGGAGCCTCTTGAGTCCGTCCTGGAGCGTATTAGAATCCTCGTCGGCCGTCCTGAGGGCAGCTTGGGCGTCTTCGGGGCCTCTTGGGACCGTCTAGGGCCCGCTCGGGACCTCCATTAGCTTGTCGGGCCTGCTTCGGGGCGGGCCCGGGCCGCCTCGGGACCCCTCTGGGCCTTCTCTTGGCGCGCTCTTGGGGCACACTTGGATTGTCTGGGGAGCATCCTGGGCCGTCTTGAGGCCCTCGTCGGGGCCTCAGGAGTCTTCCTGGAGCGATCTGAAGGGCCTCCGAGGCCGTGAGGGAGCGCTGGAAACTGGGAAAAGCGAGAACGCCAAAATCCAAAACACTCGGAAAACGAGTGAATCTTGCCTTCCAGGGCCCTCTTGGGGAGCCTCTTGAGTCCGTCCTGGGGCGTGTTGGAGTCCTCGTCGGCTGTCTTGAGGGCATCTTGGGCGTCTTCGGGGCCTCGTGGGACCGTCTTGGGCCCTCTCGGGACCCCCTTAGCCTGTCGTGGCCTGCTTCGGGGCGGGCTCGGGCCTCGGGAGCTCTGGACCCCCCCCATGGGGGCCTCTTGGGAGCCTCACCGGGCTTCTTGGGCCTCCAGGGGCGTCCTAGGAGCCTCTCAGGCCGGAGACCTTGAAATGTCGCGCTCTTCGGGCCCTCTTGGGTCGCTCTTGGGGCTCTCTTGGGGCGCTCACAAGGCCCTCTGGACTTATCTGGGGAGCCTCCTGGGCCGTCTCTGGGCTTTCTTGGGAGCCTCTTCGGCCGTCTTGGAGCGATCTGAAGGGCCTCTGACGCGGTCCAGCACCTGGGGAGGCGGAAGAGCGCAAGAATGCTTCAAAAACATTTGAAAATTAATGATTTTCGGCTTCTGGAGCTCTTTGGACGGGCCTCTGGAGGCGCTCTCGGGGCGTTTTGGCGGCGTCGTCGGCCGTCCTGAGGCCATCTTCGGCGTGTCCGGGGCCTCTGGGGGCTGTCTTTGGGCGTCATGAAAATCATGTTCCCGGAGAGGCATCCGGGAACATGATTTCGAACGAGGCCCTCTTGGGCCTCCTGGAAGCCGTCCTACTGGGCCGGCTTTGGGGCCTCTTGGGCCGTCTTGGGAGGTTCCGTCAGCCCCACAGGACGACCCTTTTGGGCCGTCTTGGGCCCTCTTGGGTCTCTCTTGCAGGAGGCCCCCAAGACGGCCTCAGGGAGGCCCAAGAGGGCCCCGTTCGAAATCATGTTCCCGGAAGCCTCTTTGGGAACATGATTTCCGGGTTCCCAGGACGCCCAAGAGGCCCACAAGACAGCCTCAGCGAGGACCAAGAGGGCCCGAGATGGCTTGAAGATGGCCGAAGAGGACCCCAAGAGGGCCTTCAAGAGGCACACATTATTTTCGCCATGCCCTGCGCATTCTCCCCATCCTTCTCAGCTCTTTTTTTGCGGAGGCTCCTCCTGGGAGAGCCTCTAGGGGCCTCACAAAAGTTGTTTCAGGCTTTCTTAAGGCCTTCTGGAGGCCTCCTGGGCGTATTCTGGGGGCCTCCAGGGGCTTCCTCAGGCCACCCTGCCTCCAACCGCGGTCTCCCTGAACGACCGAATCACGATTTGGAATTCTTCGGAAGGTTTCTTTGGGCCATCTTGGGCCGCCATGGGGCTCTCTGAGGGCCATCTTGGACCCGTGTTGTGCCGTTTTGGGGCTCTCTTGGACTGCCTGGAAGCCCTTTCGGATGGTTGTGGGGCGATTTTGGAGCCTCCGGCGGCTTCGGACGCCCGGAAGCGCCGTCTTGCGGCGTCGGGAAGCCCAAAAGAGGAGAACCGCAGACTTCACCAAAAACCCACAGAAAATCAATGATTGTTGCCTCGGGGGGCTTCTTGGGAGTGCTCTTGGAGGCCTCTTTGGGGCCGTCCTGGAGGCCTCTTGGGCCATCTTGAGGTCACGTCGGTCACTCTTGGAGCGCTCTTGTGCTGTCTTGGGGGTCTCTGGGAAGTCTCCGATGAACCCCCCTGATCGCCCTAGGTGTGCTGGGAAGGCTTCGCAAAACGCCCTGCGAGGCCCAGTGGCCGCTTCGAGGCCCGTGCGGATGGTCCCAAAGCCCCAGATCCCGGGAGTCGTTTTTCTTGGGGGGGACGGGTTCTCCCTCCGCCCGGGCTTATAAAAATATAGGAAGAGGAGTGTGTATATATATATATATATACATATATACATGCATACATGCATACATACATACATACATACATGCATACATACATACATACATACATACATACATACATACATACATACATACATGCATGCATGCATGCATATATACATACATCCATGCGTACATACATACATACATACACACATACATAAGTGCGTGCGTGCGTGCGTACGTACGTACGTACGTACATGCATACATACATACATGCATGCATGCATGCATACATACATACGTGTATGCAGGCACGTGTATGTACATGCGTACATGTGCATGCAGCCTTACATGCCTACATACATGTTGGCCTACCTACCTAGCTACCGACCTATCTATATACATAAATATATACCTACATGCATACATGCATGCATGCATGCATGGATGCAAATATGCATACATACGTACATACATCCACACACACATGTGTATATATATATATATATATATATATCGCACGCATACCTACAGATAAGCAAAAGTACCAGCAAACATACAAACATACACACATACACACATACATGCATAGATACCTACATGTCTGCATGCGTGCATACAGACATGCATACATACGTTGCCTTACACATTATGCATGCATACTTGCACACATACATACAATGCATTACACTACATTACATTACCTGACATTATATTATACTACGTTACATTACATCACACTACAGTATGTTCCGTACCAATACACTCCATACATACAGATGCATACACATACACCTACACCTACACATACGCATACAGCTGCACATGCACACATGCACATATACATGTGAATGTGCCTTAACATATAAGTATATATCTATATGTATGCATATTCCTCGGCATGTACACATACATATGGATACCTATGTGTATACACACGCGTACGCAAGCACGTACCAATATCTCTCTCTCTCTCCCTCTCTCTCTCTCTCGTTCTCTCTCGCTCTCTCTCTCTCTCTCTCTCTTTATCGTTCCCTCTCTCTCTCTCTCGCTGTCTCTCGCTCTCTCTCTCTCTCTCTA